GCAGCATCAGAGGAGCAGGAAAGCTGATGTTTCAGGTCGGGACCTTTTCTGAAGAAGGGTCCTGACCCGAAACGTCAGCTTTCCTACTCCTCTGATGCTGCCTGGCCTGCTGTGTTCCTCCAGCTCCACACTGTGTTATCTCAGACTCCAGCATTGGCAGTTCTTACTATCTTTGAAAAATCTAAGATTGTTCTCTTTGGAGCAAAGAAGGTTGAGAATTGGGCTAATTGAAGATTCTAAACTGGGGATTGGATGTGGCAGGTACTGAGAGAAAAAAAAATGTCAACTGGATCAATAAGCAAGGTCATAGATTTAAAATAATTGGCAGCTATTGGCAGATGAGACTTGATTCAATAAATTATTGGGATTTGAAACATTCTGCCTGAAAATATGGTCCAACCTGATTTCATCAATAATTTTAAAAGAATGATGGATGGGGACTTGAGAAACAGTTACAGGTATTGAAATGTAGGAATAAGGACAACTGCACTTAGTCAGTTTAGGCACAGTGGGTGGAATGGCTTCCTTCTGTTCTCCTAAATTCCTTTGATTCTATTTCAATTAATAGTCAGCATAACAAAGACTTCAATCCATTGTCTGTGAAATGCTTTGAGACATTTGAGAGAGATGACCAGATACAATTTCTGTGCCAAGATCTGCTGTAGCGTTGGTAAATGTTGTGCATTTGCATGACTAAATTCTGTTCTTAAATCTGTAGTAGCCCACTAATTTGGAAAGTTCGCGTAACACTAGGGACTAATGATGAGGAAATGAGCTATTCCCGAAGGTGACGGCGGCTGATAAGTCTATCACGTTTGGTTATGATAGATGGCGATAACACGAAATTGCTTTATTATACTTAGCTAGCTCGTCATGGTGTAAAAAAAGCAGTTAACTCTTGGTTATTTCAATCCCACGTTTGACTAACTAGAGTACGAGGGATACCCTTCGCGTCAAAATCGACCAATATCCATTCACTTGCAAGTACATCGCCTTATTCTCTTCAAATGACAACTGAGATATGTTGCATGACACAGCCGATATTCCTATATTAGAAGTTTTGTAGCATTGCATTGTCAATGAAAGAGAGAACATTAAATTGAATGGTTTAGACCATTTGTCTATTCGGGCCAATTATTACGTTATCCAGCACCGAATGCATTTGAATTAAAACTGAATTATTTTTAAAGGGGGTTATAATTAGGACATTTGTTTCCCTCTACTGGTATGTCTCTTATTCTATTTCGCACTGTGATACACGGTCTAACACAGCGCCCTTGAACAACACCATAAGCAGGAATAACAAAGAAAGATTAACTGGATATTTTTTTCACTCCCTTTCGCAACCGGTCTTATGTTGAATGATTCAGAAATCTCGTATTGGAGCCGCCAGATTACATCATCACTGCTCCGTCTTCGCGTCAAAGCCGAGTGGCTGGTTTTATTATTAAAAGGGACAGAGAGAAAAATGCAGGGCTGTTGGAGCTGCACTGTTATAGATTAACAGCAGAGACAGAGACAGAGAGAGAGAGAGAGAGAGAGAGAGAGAGAAAGAGAAAGAGAAAGAAGAGAGAAGAAATAACGGCGATGTGAGTGATTTGGTGCTTTATTTAAGATTTTGTTTTGTGATTTTTTGGGGAAAGAAATCCCCTCCCCCCCCTCCCGCCCTCCCGGTTATTTGAAGATGTCATGGCAGAAGCGGATGCAACAACCCCTTACGAAGAATATGAGTGCAAAATCTGCTACAATTACTTCGATCTGGGGCGCAGGGCGCCGAAGATCCTGGAGTGTTTGCACACATTTTGCGAGGAGTGTCTGACCACTCTGCACGTCAGGGAGGACCGGCCATGGCGAATCGCCTGCCCCATCTGCCGGCACAGGACAGCGGTGCCCGACTACCGGATACACAACCTGCCCAATAACACCAAGGTGACCGAGGCTTTCCCCCTGTACGTGGGGGCCGACCCTCTGCCCCAGGACGCCCTGCCGCCAACGCCCCAACTGCAGAGGTTTAACCAGGAGTCTCACTCCCAGCAGCACCAGACTTCACAGCAGCAGCCCCGGTCCAGCGCTTCCCTGCCGCCTGAGCTCGGCACCCCTTCGGCGGCCACGGGCAGTCGCCAGTCCCGGGGACCCTCGGCGCCTTACGAGAGCTGCCAGAACTGCAAGCGGGCCGCCCTGACCGCCGGCTGCGTCTGTGTGGTCTTCTCGTTTCTCTCCATGGTGGTGCTGCTCTTCACCGGCCTGATCTTCGTCAATCACTACAACAGCTCGCCGTCTCCGGTCGGCCCTATCTGCCTGTCGGTGGCCAGCATCTTAGCCTTGTTCTCAGTGGTCGTCACGTGGGTGATCTGCTGGCTCAAATACCGCCCCGACAGCAATGGCCAGGTGAACAACAACAGGGCAGCAACCATTGCCTCTTCAACCCGGAGAACCACTGAGCACTTGGGATGAAGCGCAGATTATTTTATTACCAAATGACCCAAGTGGGGAACCACAAACAAATCCCTAACCCTCTTTCCTGTGCGTGCTTTCATCCGATACTGTGCATGCCGAGACGAAAGGAAGTGATGCAGTTCTTCAATTCCTTCACTCAACACCTTTCCCTTTCCATATCACAGGACGAACTTCCTTCCACTCATGTGTGGCTTGTTGGCGAAATAACCAGTAAATCTGTATCCCAAAGGCTCCCCATGCTTTTACTCATAACAGATATTGTGTGCATCGTATTGTGTTGAAATGTCCATATTCAAATTGCGCCATAAGTGAAGTATGCATCGTTAAATTTTGATTATGAATATATGTACAACTAAAACAAAACTGATAGATGTGGTTGTTTAAAGTCACTAAACTGTGGGCTTTGGTTTCCTAAATGGTAAGTCGGAAGGATGTTAGGGAGACTTGGCGAGATAAAGAGTTCTGGAATTTGTTTGCCAAGCAGACTAATCGGCCACTGATTTCACTTGTGGACAATGGCTCTTTTTCTAGAAAGACTGCAGACTAACCAGGGCCAATGGTGGTCGGGAAGGCCCTTTTAAACCCGACAAGTATTTTATAAATAGAAGTACTGCAGTTCAGTCCGATCAAGTCAAACAGGGATTGTTGACAAATCTGAGAAGTGGTTACACAAAACATTAAAGGTCACTGATTCAGACAATAACATCCACATATCAGAATCAATCCATTTATGTGCATTAGTCACTAGTATTTGAATCATTAATGTAACATTACATATGCACGGCTCACAGACAGCCATAGATACGTAAAAGAAATTCTGCCAGAAGAGCTTTGGGTAAAACAACAAAATGTAGATTGCTTTAAAAAAATAGTGAAGACAACATGGAAGTTGGAGTCAATGCAAAATATTACGGATGCTGGAGACTTGAGATACAAACAAAGTGCTGGAGAATTTCAACAGATCTGACAGCATTTGGGGAGACAGAAACAGAATTAAGGTTTTGAGTACAATATGACTCCCCTTCGGTTCCGAAGCACTTTCTGTGATAGAAGTTTGAGTTATGTTCAGGTTGGTCTGAAAACATTCAGGTAGATTTAAATCAAAACATAACATTAAAAAGCAAACACTGTAATCCGGAAACTACAAGTAGCTGTCGACTACCTGATTTCTGCTGGAAGTAATTTTGACTTTGAGAATTGCCTTAATTTCCTGGAATCTTTAGAAACTTGAAAGGGTAGCCCATGACCAAGCAAAGAAGTTCTGTCCGAATGTTTGTTATAATTATTTCGCATTTAGGATCTGTAATTTTCATTTTCTTTCATGAGTTGAGATCATTTTCATAATTGCCCATCACCTCTTTTGGACAACATTAATCCATTGTGAAATTTTAGATCGAACTGAACTGGGAAAGGAAGTTCAAATGCAAGTGATAACAATGAAGAAATTACTTCAAGCTTGTCCCTCCTCGAAAAGTGTACAGATTTTAAAGAGCTGCCCAAATGTACACCTACCTGTGATTGGGCCATTGGCTGACGGCCGTGTCAAGCCAATCAGACCGACTCACCATCTCTGCACTGTAACCTGGGAAGTGACTGTCTCATAAATTCAACACAGTTCAGGACGTTTGTGATAATCCTTGAAGAATAACCCATTTTGGAGATCAAGGCGAAACCAGCGTGTTTTCTACATCGCTATTTCGGGTATAAAAATTGGTTTCCCCAATGGCTCCGGGAATTTGTCCAGAGGTTGAAATATTTCCGCTTGAGTTTGTTGAGTTTAACCAGGACAGTAGATCGTTTTAGCATTCCTGAGTTGGAAAAGAGACCCAATGCTCCTGGTTAAAAAGAATAAAATGGTCAGGTAGTGCAGGGAACCTAAAACCCGTGGAACTAGTTGGGGTAAGAATAAAGAGAAATATAAAGAATTGTCCAGCTGTATATCACACGAGTTTCTTAGGTGTTCTTGGAACATCTTGAAACGATACACTGTAGTGGGAAACCAGCACTTTTATCGTAGTAGTTTCAAATTCCCCTTTGCTGGTTTAATGAATAAATAAAACCGTTTAAAATTAATATTTTGTCTTTCCCATAAAGTCATGCAAAGATGTTTCCCAGGAGGGCGTTAAACATTTGCAAGTGGTTTTCCAAGTTTCAAAGCCAGCGGCGTTTTCTTTTAAAATTCTGGGCGAATAAGCCTTTATGCAACACCGAAACAGCGAAATTCATAAGTTAGCTGTCGAAAACTGAGTTTTTTTTTTCAGGATCTCTCAACTTTGCATTTGTACGTGCTTCCTCTTGAATACTTATCAGTGACATCAAGGAGAACTACACTGAAATGGACCGGATAGAAGCGACATTTATGCAAAACGTTGTTCTCAGTTTTTATAGCCCTGCCCCTCTTGTTTCGTCGGTATTCGAAGCAACAACATTATATTTTCATTCTAAATGTGAATTATATTAATAAAATGATACTTGCCATACTTTGACATTAGCCACACCCCATATTCAGGTATAGGGTGAGTAAAAGTATTGAAAAGTTTTGCCTGCCGCAGTGCTTTATTCTAGTAGACATACTTTTTTTTTTCCCGCAGCACGTTGGTTGAAATTCAATACTTTAAACGGTTTGAATTGTACCGGTAAAAAAAAGAAGCAACCCGTTTGAATTTTGTTCGGAAAAGGGGTTGATTTCGTTCAGAATATCGCGGAGACTCACTCGTGCATTTGTATTTGAATACAAGTACAAGTGAACTCTTTCTGATTTGTAAATTGGTTTAGGTGTTTTTGCATTGGGATGTGTTGGGTGTAGTGCCACACTGGTTTAGTTCAGTATGACAACTGTTTCCAATCTGAGTCTAGAAGTGGATGTGTCTAAAATATTATTGTATCAAATGAGTATTAATTGCAAATATTAGATATTTTTAATTTCTAAGTATAAATGTCAAATTTGTGTAATGTGCTAACCAGAAACATCACACAATTCAACATCCAGATCGAATCTAGGCTGGCCTAGATGGCTTTTTTTTTAAAGAAAGTGTTCCTCCCTCTTCTATTTGCTAATTGTATGAGGGTTTCTTTGCTTATGCTACTTTTTTTCAGTTAGCTAGAGTAACTGGAAATTACAGGGAGTAGCAAGGTTCACGGAAATTGTATTGCTTGGATATTTTCAACTACACTGAACATTAAAATCTCAAAATAATAATCAAGTATGACAAGTGGTGATGTTAATTGTTTATCTCAGATTTGGGTTCCATTTCGCTATGTAAAGCGGATGCTGGATTAAGGCAAAATAAAAGCAAAATCCTGCCGATTCCGGAGCTCTAAAAGTTAAAACAAAAACACGAAGTGTTGGAGAAACTCAGGTCAATTGACAGAAACAGAGTTAACGTTTCAAGTCCAGTGTGACTTCTTCTGAACTGGGTTAACACATTCAGGTTACCTGTACACCCAATTTGTTTCGTTAAAACAGGCACAGCTGGGATGGCTGTGAATGTTCAAATGTCTAGCCTGGAAATAAATTGATGCCAGAAAATGCAAACGAATATGAAACGACATTAACCCCTTTTAACAACCGAAAGAACTGCGGATGCTGTAAATCAGGAAAAAAACAAACTTGCTGGAAAAGCTCAGCAGGTCTGGCAGCATCTGTGAAGGAAAAAACAGAGTTAACATTTCGGGTCCAGTT